TTGCGTTTTTGAATTCTCCCTAGAACTGCTTGGCTCTCTTACAAGACCCCAGCCTGGAGTTGGTCACCCTATGCTACGTATGATCACAGGAAAATGCTCACCCACCCAGGCTGACATAAAGCCTGTCACCTATGTTTAACATTTTAAGAGATGACCACACTGTTTTCCAGCATGGCTGTACGACCTTCCATTCACTCCTCATTTACTGACACCGTTGGAACCCTCCGACTGGGGCGTTATGTGAAGGTTGGTGTTAGGAGAAAGTGGAGGGAGGAAAACCCTATCAAATCACAAAACAGAGGACAACCGCATGGTTATGTAACTGCCCAAACCACATCCCTACACAACTGCCGAGTGTCAGCATGTTGACAAGTGTGTGCCAGAGACAGTGATCACCGTGGTGTCCCACTGCCAGATGGACACCGCTCATGCTATAAACAGCCAGATGGTAGGTTTTACATTATTGTTGTAACATGTGAAATGTCCTCTTTTCTGTTCCCCTGATCAATCTGGCTGGATGTCCGTCCCTTTCATCGATCTTCTCAAAGAACCGATTTCAGTTCCTTGAATTTTCTAATTTTTAAATTTTGTGGATTTATAACATATTGCTATTGTTTGGCCATCCTGCTGTGGGGTTCATTTGCTTCCTTCTCTGTAGTCTTAAGGTCTCAGTAGTGAGGCCACTTGGTTTTATTTCAGTCAGTGAGGAGACTGGTTTAAGCAGCACTCTCTCAGGATTCAGTTATGCGTCAACTCCTCATCTCTAGAACGACCCACCCTGGGGCACAGACCCCATCAAGCTTGTGCCCTGGCAATGGGAGACTAGGTTCACGAACTGTCCTCATGGTCCTGAGGCGAGCCGGCCTGTTTGAGGCCCGGCCCAATAGACACTGCTCTCAGCTGCCATTAATAGAATGATTGCTAATATTGTCACTAACCTGAAAGAAAACAGACAAAACAAAAACCTGTCATTGAGTCAATGCTGACTCCTAGACATTATTGACGGTACAAAGCCCAGCCTTTCTCCCCGCAAGCTACTGGTGGTTCCGAACTGCCAACCATGAAGATTGCAGCCCAATGTGTAATCACTACACCACCAAGGCTCCTTATTGTCACTAAAGATAAACTTTATTCTAGTTACCAAGAGCAGGGAAACTTATAGGACTCCTTGTGGCGTCGTGGTCACAGTGAGCTAACAGCAAGGTCAACAGTTAGAAACCACTGGCCGCTTGTCGGAAGACAGGGCTTCTACTCCCCCAAATAGTCTCAGAAACCTCCAGGGGGAACAAGCAGGAGACCGTGAGGCTGCACGGAACTTTGTCTCTTCAAGCTCGTTTGGCAGTGACTCTGACAGTGAAGTCGACAAAAAGCTAACGAGGAGAAAGCAGTTGCTCCAGAAAGGCCTGTCAAGAAGGAAAAGGCTGGGGAGACTTTCAGAGCCCCGTCGTCCTCCAAGCAGAGCAGCCGCAGAGATGGCAGCATGCTCCAGATTGGGAATGCGGTATGTCAGTGTTCGGGACTCCAAAGGAAAGTCCTAATTGGCGTGAGCTTCTCGGATGGATCAAGGAGGTGAAATGAAACCAGGAAGAACAGGCATTTCTTTAAACCCCGAGCAGGGGAGCCAGCTGAAGGAACAGATTCTGACCTGGATGGCACAGTAAGAAGACGCTAAGATCCGAGCCATATCCACCCTGTACCCTTCTCGTCTTTTACATGGGGTTTTCTTTTCTGTTGTTTTCCAAGCTATTGGATATGTGGATTGCAAAACAATTTCAAGATGAATACTTTTTTTTTTTAGTGTGCATTAAAAATGTTCTAAGTGAAAACAAAAAAACAAACTCCACCTCCAGGGGTAGTTCTCTGCCATATCAGGTTGCTAGGAGCTGGCATTGAGTGAGCTTTTGAGGACACTCATGAGTCAGAATTAAGTCAAAGGCAGCGAGTTTGGTTTGAGAAAACTTTGAACTGACAATGGACGCCCTCAAGCGTCTGAGTCTGCCTTACTCAGGCAGCCGGGGAAGAACCAGCGTCTGACGAGACCTAACCGATAGTCAGCCGCACCACTGCCCCAGGCTGGCTGACTTTTGGATGATGGGATTCTGGCTCACTGCACACTCACTGGCCGGACAATGAGTGTGGAAGCCAGGCCTTTGAAGGCTATTCAGTCCAGCTCATCTTTGAGCAGGAGGCCAGTGAGATGTGTTGGGACTGCTTGCCTGAGGTCACTCGGGGAACCACTGGGGTCGTCAGAACGTCTGAAACATGAGCCACATTTACAGAAACCTGCCTTCAGAGCAGCCACTTCGGACTCAGGGCAGACACCGGCTGGGGAGAGGGCAGGTGCGGGACTGGTGGGGAGGGCTCCATAAGACAGTTAGATGAGGGAAACTCCAGTGGGCGAAGCTGTTTCTTTAAATATATTGGCAACTTTTAAGGCCATTTTGTTATGTACTTTGCCAGTTGAAAAAGGCCTGTAACAGTGGTTCTCAGCCTTCCTAATGTCGTGACCCTTTAATACAGTTCATCATGTGGTGGTGACCCCCCCAACCCCAACCATCAAATTATTTTGGTTGCTACTTCATTACTGTAATTTTAGTACTGTTATGAATTGGGCGACCCCTGTGAAAGGGCTGCTCGACCCCCAAAGGGGTCGCCACCCACAGGTTAGAAGTGCTGGCCTATAAGATCCAGCTCTTAATAAAACTCTTCCCAAAGACTATAATAGGAAAATTAAAAAAAATTTTTTACCTGGTTTAATAGTCAGGAAAAGTGGCGCGTGCCTCATTTTGAGCTTGTTGCAGCTTTGTAAAGTGACCGCTTTACTTTTGCCATGTTTGACTGAACTGTGCCATCCGCCCCCAGACAGGTGCTGTCTCCTCCGCCCACCCGTGGACGGGAGGGAGTGCAGCAGCAGTCCGAACCCACCAGCTGCTCCGCACAAGACAGAGGTGTCTGTTGGCTCCTGGCAATCTGACAGTCCTGGGAACCCTTGGGGGAGGGGATCAGAGCTGAGCTGATGGCCCACCCCAACACACCTGTGCACGGAACCCCTCTGGGGATCAAGGTTTTAAGTCACAGGAGGCCCGGTGGCATGGTGGCGATGCGCTGTCAGCCACCCTGAGGGAGACAGCTGAGGCTGTCCACTCCTGTAGGAAGCCAGTGGACACCCACGGGGCAGTCCCACCCTGTCCTCACACGGCCCCGGGAGCTGGCGTCAACGGAATGGCCCCGAGTTCGCTTTTGCTACATCGGTGTCTTCGGTTGTACTGACTTGACGGCACTGAACAGAGCACCCCTCTCTCGAATGATAAACAGGAAAGCGACCACAATCCATCTACTCCGCTCCCTTAGCCCAGTGGTTTTGTTGTTTTTAAAAAAATCCTTTTATTTGGAGCATTTACAAGGTACATAAAACCCACCCATACAACACTCACTGCCATGGAGCCGATTCCAACCACACTGTCCCTGCCTGCGGGGTCCCCCTGCTGGGGGCTTCCGTGACTCGGCCTCAGCTTTCACCCTTGGAGAAGCTGGTGTTCAAGCCGCTGACCGCTCAGGTAGCCAGCCCAGTGAAGCCACTCTGCACCAGGGCTCCAAAGGCATGCAGAGGCAGGGAGAACCGAATTCACAGGACCCCATCGCCCGACTCCACACATCAGGGCCCATCTCACTGCATCTAGGGACTTGCTCCTCCACCTCCTGTCCATTTTGACGTGCTAGTATTTGCTGATGAACTTGATGTGCACCCTCAACTCCAAGTAGGCCGTTTGAGCACTTCAGCCATCCACAGCATGCCAGCAGGCCAGGTACACAAAATGAAGATGCAAGTTGGGCCTCTGGTCCCCAGCTGTTTGGCAGTCCCTCCACACACCACTCCCAAGGTCCAGCAGAATGGGGTGCCGGTGCCCCTCACAGGGTGGTCAGGCAGAGTGCTGGGGCTGCCCCGCCCAGGAGATGACCATTCTCTGGGAGACATGGCCCTGAGGAAGGCAGCTGCTCCCCGGGATGGTGGTCTGACAGCAGCAACGGCAGACCCCAGACTCTGGTCATTCCTCAGTGGTCATACATCCCACGCAAGCAAGTGGGCTGTGGGTCTATCGGCTGCACCCCCAGCCCCTGCACACCCCTTTGTCCATCTACACCTTGGAGGCATTCTTCAAGAGGGACCCTCTGCTCCCCAGGACTGTGGTGGGTGGGTGGGCAGTAGGCCTCGGCACCATGGAACCTGGGAGGCCCCAGTGTACTGGTTCCACCTGTAGGCTGCTTCCAGCATTTTCAGGGGCAGATCTGGAAGCTTCCAGGAGATTCTCCAGCTTCCCTGGTGAGTGGGCACTGGGTTACCAATGCTAACCTACTTCATCTCCCTACAAATCCTACCACCCTAGCCCTGGGTTTTAGGACCAGGAAATCAAGTGGTGCTGTATCATGGCCTGTGGTCAGAGGGGTGTGTGGCTACCCTGGGGGGCCTGCCCCATGGGCTCCTATGCACACACCCAGACCTCCGTCCTTCCCAGAAGGCACTTCATCCCAGTCTCCTGCAGAAACACCCACATACTCTGTACAGCCTAACTCTGACTTACCCAGATGATTCAATGGAGAAAATAGCACACCCAAGGAAATGGACACTTAAGGCCTGGCAACTGGTCAGCTTCAGGGGACAGGTTCCCTGTTCCCAACACTCCTCAGAGGGGTGCAGAGAGCTAGGAGCCCAAGCCAGAGCTCCTGACGCTGGGGTCCCTTCATCACGTTACCGTTCTCTCAGCTCCACCTCCACACCCCATAAGATAGGGGCTGTTGTGTGCGCTATCTGCACTCCAGGGACAGCAAGGAGGTGAGTGTGCATGTCGGCTGCTGTGCCACCTGTAATGACGAGGGACCAGCACCGCCATTGCTCAAGTTCCCCAAGCTGGCCAGGGGGTGGGGGGCTGCTCAGGCTGTGTCCAGCACCCAGGGAGCCGAGAGGGCTACACTGCTGTAAGCAAGACCTGGCCAAGGACAGCTTTCTCTCACACACGTTTATTCATGCCACCCAGCACAGGCAGGAGTGACAGCCATGTCCCCAACACTGCTCCGACATCCAGGCCGAGTGGACACTTCATCCGACAGGATCTCAGGCAGCTGCTCAGTGGTGGCCGTGGGCAGGTGCCCCACCAGAAGCTTTGGGAAGAAGAACAGAGCAGAGATGATGAAAGAAGGACAGGGGATGCCCTGTATCCCCATGAGATGCCCCAAGGGCTTGGACTGATGCCACCCAGCAGACCCCTGGGGTCTAAGGACAGGCAGGCACGACTCCCTTGTCATTTGGGCAACAAGCTAACAAGGATGTCAATGTGGATAGCTAGGAGCTTGTCACTGGGGCTGTACAAAGGTGGCTCCCCAGGGCCTTCTAGCCAATCCAGATGCTTGATGTGGCCCAGGGGGTGAGCAGATATCAACATTCAGCTTCCAGGACAGGACCCTCCTCAGGCACACAGTACCACCATGCTCCAAGTCACCTACTGCATCTCAAGTGTGAGTTACCCAGCACCCACTTCAATCAGGATGCTGCTGCTCCCTCCCACCCTCACCCCCCAAAGTCGGTTAAAAAGGAAGAACCTTACCTTTCAGAGCTTTGCTTCTTTTATCTAAAACAAAAGGAAAAAATTGGGTTACACCAATTCTTAAAAACGACAAAGCAAACAAGCCCTTAGTTTACTCACTGTTGAAAACGGCATGTGGCTGGGAGCTCAAGGCTCAAAGTCAGCCGGCGGCATCTCCCAGCCCACAGGGGCAATGTGGCTACCAAAGGCATGCTGAGAACAGGGCACAGCCCAGCGGGACCACAGCAGACCTCACACGCCCGCAGGAAACATTTGCTGCTGCTTCCTCTGACAGCATCACCGTGCTTCACACTCTTGTACCGTGGCCGTGCAGATGGTTCACCCAAGACGTGCTATCTGAACTCGTTCGGAAACACACAGTGAGTTGTGTTCACGGGCGGCCATCACCCACCCTTCCTTCACTGCAAACCACTCTGAATGGTTCCTGGGAACTAGCAATCACTGGGGCATCTGCCCATGGTAGCTATTTCTGATTACTGGGGCCACAGTGTTAGTCCTTTTATGATGAGCCTATTTCCCTGGCAGTGGCTGGCAGCAGGGGACAGAAGGCCATCTCTATGTGGCCAAGTGTACACACACCCTGATTTCCCTTCTCCTGTGTGATGGGCCAAGCTTTGTCCCCACAAACCAGGGGATCTGCACTCCTGCTGCTCAGGTCCCACTGCCCATCTGCTGGGGACCAAGTAGTTACTGCTCCCCACTTCTGCTGAGCCCACCCCAAGTAATCCACCTGCATCGCTAAAAGACCCACCCATCACTGCAATACCACGTCCCGTCTCAGGACCCAGGGGGACTGGACCTGGGGCTGTCAAGCCCCACAGATCTCCAAGGTGGAACGTGTCTTGACAGAAGCATCAACTGCTCCCTCAGTGCAGCGCTGGGCCCTAACAGCCAGCTTTGCCGTCAGCAGCCCCGCCAGTGACAAAGGGCCTGAGAAACCCCCCAACAATGGTGTACATTCCTCAGCTGTCTGTCAGGCAACTGGTGAGGCACCTCCAGGGCCCCGCCAGCACACACCACCGGTCCTGTGCTGTCTGGCTGCTTGCACGTCTCTGTCCCCTGCTCTCCTCCTCTTCCTCACAGCACTGACTTCTCTGAGGCCAGTCCAGTCCCCACCTTGCTCCCTCCGGGTCATGTGTGTATGTGGATGTTCTAGAAAAAAATCTCAACATTGAGGCAAAGTGCACAAACAAACATCGAGAAGAGAGTAGCCTGCCTCTCCACACCCCCCACCGCAGCTTCAATGAGCACTGCCGAGCTTGCTAGCCAACTGCCAACCCGGGCGTTCTTGGCTCTCCTTTTCCCTGGCATCTTTTAATGCAAACATCACTCAGGTGTGAGGTTCTCCTGAACCACCAGCAGGCACCAGGAGTCTTCCTCCCCCTGCCATGCCCACAGCCTGGCCAGGAACGTGTGGCTTCCTCCACTTGGGGAAGTGTGGTAAATGCTAGCCTCAATGGCGTTGCTTATGGCCCCTGAGCTGTCTTTTAACGGAGGATTTAGAGTACCTGTCATGTTCACGTTAGTAACGAGCATTACCCTTCACCGCCCTACAAGAGATAATGGCAGGAACAGAGGGAGCCACGACCCCCTGGACTGAGAACCTCCTAGACCCAGGGCCAGGTCGAGGACAAGCGACCAAGCGACACAGAGACAAATGAACAGTGATTCCCTCTGATCGAGGGGTCCCCAGATGCTGAAAGGAGGGAGGGCCACCCCAGCCCCTCCTCCCAGAGCTGGTGCTCTGAAGTCAGACTCTTATCCCCTGAGCTGAGAGCGGCCAGAATGCTGACAGACACCCACCCATGTTTTTGTCACAGCTACCAGGGAAGCTGGGCCCTGGCTGGTGCTGGCCTTCTGGTGGACTTCCCCACTCCCCAAGCCACTCCCAGTTAGGAACCCCGAACTTGTACAGTGCCATTGCAGCAGGCTGTTGGGGGACTTACCGGCGCTCCTGATCTTGTATATGATGAAGCCCATCAGGCCCACCCCCATCCAGATCTCCTGGTAAACTTGTGTGTAGTAGGGCTTCATGGGGGTCCACACATTCTTGATCAGGCTTTGGAGCATCTGTAAAGAGCAGCAATGAGACCAGGACCACCACTAAGGTCTGAAAGCAAAGACCCAGCTCACTCGGTCACAAGGGGTCACTATGATGTGGACGCAATGCCACAGCACCCCAAAGAATGCTGCTCTATCCCCAACTAGTGTAAGATCCCATTAATAAGTTTGACCCTATTTCTCACAGCTCCCCAAGGCCACTCCTGGGCCACATTGGTTCTCAGTCACCCCTCCCTCAAGCACCAGAGCAGTCAGAGCGGGGCTGCTCAACCCTGTTATCAGAGCATCGTCCCTTGGTGTCCACCACGAATGCCAAGGCCACTCACTTCTCCACATTTCATACGGAAAGACAAGTGTGTGCTCACGTGTGACACCTGCTACATCAGAGCCGTAGGAACGTGGCAGGGCAAGGGGGGGGTCTCTCCTGAGCTCCCCAATACACAGCTGGGCACCCTGCTCAGCACCACCTCAGTCTACCTCTCTGAGAGAATGAGGCCAAGCATGAGAGCCGCAGGTGCGGCAGATGTTATTTAACATATCATCACAACCCAACGACACTGAGTCATTCCCAACCCCTGGTGACCCCACCTTTCCTCAGAGTAGTGGGTTGTGGATGTGACCTGCCGACCTCATGGTTAGCAGCCCGACACCCACGGGGCCACCACTTCCTGGGCTCCATCGGGAAAGGCCACTTGCTCCTGTCCTCACACAGCTCACTGTTCTAGGTGGGGTTCAAAGTACGCTTTTGATCATTTAAAAAATGTCGACACCAGACCCCGGATCACAAGCCGTTTTCATTCCAATGTCAACACTTGGCAAGGTCCATCGGTAGAAGCAAGTGGACACTGCAGCCCCGTGTGGGTCCCCGAGTGAGTCACACAGAAGCCCGCTCCTCAGCCCCTTCTCAAGTGCCTGCTGATGCACCAGCAAAGCGAAGAGCTTTCAGGAGCTGTGAAACCAAGAGCCGGGGCATCTGGGAGCAAAGGGTCCTGCGAAGGAGAGGCAAGGGTGCATGGTGAAGTAAGAAGCCCAGAGAAGCCACTGTGGGCACCAAACCCTAGCCCTACACCTGCTTGTCACTTAGGAGCTACAGTAACCTGTCAACCCCATACCTGTAAACCACACCTGCCCCCCCCCACGAAGATGAAACTTGTTCCTCGGTGTTAAGTACTTACAGTGCTGGCACTGCACATCAAGAAAAAGGTGGTGGAAAAATGAAACTTAAAGGAGTGTTTAGAAGGCCCCTCGTATGACGAGCTGGCTGAAGAAAAGGCCACTGCTGGGCCGCTGTGAGGCAGGCAGATGGCCAGGGCCCTGGGAGCCACGAGTAGCAACTATACTTCATGGCTCATTTCCCTCTGGCCACGGGGGAGCAGTGGCCTGGGACCCACAGCTGGCTGGCAGGGCCGGTTTGTTGACAGCTCTAAGGCCCCAGCCTGAGATCCTTGCCAGGCCCCAGCTCATCCTTGGGTAACTAAGGACTAGCCTTGCAAACTAGCGCTCACTGTAACCTGGGCCGACGTAGCCAGATCCTCAGGGTGGGCCAGACCCCCTGCAGGCTGTCTACCCGCCACTGTCTGGGATGCTGGGACAAAGCATGAGGGCCCAGGGCACCTACAGCTGTGCCTTGAGGAGGACCTGGGAGAGAGGTCAGGGGCACCTCAAATTCCTCTTTGCTGCATCTAGCAACCGTTGGGGAGAGGCGGAGCCCCAGGGGGTGGGGGAGGGAGAGGATTCCTGGGGTTGAAGACTAATCTGGACCTGCGGACACCTCCATGTCTGTGAGATGCCTCTGCCATGCCCAGGGGACTCTTGATGGGATGTTAGGGCCCAGCCTTGTGCCCAGTAAACCCTTTGCAACAAGGGGACAAACTGCTGCCAGTGCCCTGCAGGTAGCTCGGCACTAAGCTCCTGGGTCCTGATGGAGGGCTTGGACAAGGGTCCTTTCCTGGGGGCAAGCAGCCCAGTCAGGTGTACTCTGTTGCTCAAAATGCCTACGGCCTATAACTCACTTCCTTTCTCAAGCAAGACAGGACCATCACCATAGTCCATGATTTAATCAGGCCATGGGGAAAATGTCAGTTCTTTCCAGGGAGCTGAGCCTCTCAAAGTCCGACCTTCAACTGAGATAAGTGCTTTCTCCCCCATGTGTTCGTTCGTTCCCAGGGGAAATGAGCACAGGCCAGCATTCAGCAGGGGTCCAGTTATTCTCCCCTCCAGATCATGATCTAAGTGGCTTCTTGGTTTGCCTTCTGAGAAATTCTCAACAAATCCTTTTTGTGAGAACTTGTCACAGAACGCAGGATACGTGGCAAGAACTGCATGTAAACCTGCCTCGAAGAAAGCTCTGGGCCCTGGAGTGTCTAGGCTTCAGGACTTCCCTGCGTCCCATCTGTTATCTTAGCTTGTATCTTTCATTCCCCCCTTCTGTATCTCTTAAATGCAACCATGCCCCTCTTGAGCCCCCTGGTCCTTGTGGGAGGGCTGGTTTTCCTTTAATCTCAGAGTAAAGCAACAGTGGGGAGTGCAAGACAGGTGAGAAGGGGCCACAGGCATTTCAGTGGTCGTGTCATCTCGCTCCCTTTCCTTGACTTGCCCTCTGGCCTATGATGAGTGTTTGGCCGGAGAGCCTTTACTTTCCCCACCAAACGTATCATGTCCAACCACATCTTCAGGCAGGTGGCAGCTTTAAAGCACTGGGTACCGGTCAAAGATCAAAACGGCTGTGGCTCAGGTGTGGGCGCTTCGCCTATCACCCCCAAAGTCAGCGCCTGCCTGGCGCATCCGTCCTGGCCGGGGTCCAACCATCTCGGGCGACCACGTGTGGCGTTTCGCCAGGAAAGTCGAGGGGTACGGTCGGGCAGGCCTAAAGGTGACGATTTCTTGGTGGACTCTGGAGGTCCTCCTCTCGGGAGGCGTGTGACCTTGGGTGCAGGGAAGGCGCGGGGCGGCCACCGCGAGCTAAGGCTCGGCAGGAGACTTGGTGGCGCGGTGGCTAAGCGCTCTAAGTCCAGCCCCAAAGCGCTCCGCGGGAGAAAGACCAGGCTGTCTGCTGTGAAACCCCACACGCTGTCTACTCTGTCTTGCAGCGTCGACACAGACTCCACGCGGAGAGTTCGGGCTCGGGTCACGGTCTGGGGGGCCGCTGTCTGGGAGGCGGGTCCCCAAAGTCGGGGGCCGCGAGGCTGCAACTCATCCCGCCCGCCGTCCCGCCGCCGAATTGGCACTCACTGTGGCGCAGGACAAACGGCTCCGCGGGACGGAGGACCCGCAACCAACGACTCGGAAGGTCACTGAACGCGCAAGCGCCGCGCAGGGCCTGCCGGGAGGGCGGAAGGAGTCGCTACGCCGTCGGGACAGAGCGGCCCCCGAGGTCAAACCTGCGCGGCACAGCGCCCACTGGCGGGCGCCAGGGGACTAAACCGGGAAGGGGCCAATGACGGGTTGGTGAGGTGGGGATGGGTGGGCAAGGGGATTGTCATAATAGGATGACATAATAGGAACCCACGGGGTTCCTTGGACAAACTGACCAACATGAAAAAAGGGATCCTCCGTTTTTCCTGCCATTCTCTTTATACTGCCAACTTTTTAGCTTTGCATTATTTCTGTTCTGCTATTCTGCAGACTATTGTAATTCCACTCAAATGAAGACTGAATTACAGCCACAGGGGCTCTAGATAACGGTTCCAACAGACACACTCTTGAGAATAACCATGCTTACTAGCCATGTTCCTGGAAATAAGTGGAACACAGGTTGTCAAGAGCGCTACCTTGCCATTAGAGAATGAAATCAACATTGTCTGGGTTTCGCAACTCTTGAAGACTTTAAATGAAAGGTAGGTTAGACGAAACCATCACACGCATCGGAGATAAAGGAAAAGATTTAGAAGAGCGAGTAAGCCTACCATATGTAATCAAGCTATTCATCTGGCTGATTTTTCAGAAACGGGCTAGCAGCCCTGCTGATCTTTGAAATACCAGTGACCTGGCTTCCACATCATGTAGGTCACCATAATGTCACCATCTGACAGAGCAGTGGGAGCGAGAGCACCAACAACTGAGCATTGGGCAGACACCCTGGTGGTGCAGTGGTTAAAGCATTTGGCTGCTAACCAAAAGATGGGCAGTTTGAAAGCAGCTGCTCCGCAGGAGAGAAGGTGTCCTCCACAATGTACAGTCTTGGGCGGGGCCGCAGGGCAGTTTTATTTGGCACCACAGGGTTTCTAGGGGTCAGAACCGGCTCGACAGAAACAAAAAAGGGGCAGAAATATGTGAAGAGAAAATGGCTGAGAATTTTCCTGAAGTCTTGAGAAAAATCATGGCAAAGATTAAAAAAAACTCTTTGCAGAAACCAAGCAGGCCAGAAATGAACTCCTTGAAACCTCAAGAATCTTAAAAACAGCCGGGGTGGAGCTGGGCGTGGAGTCAAGATGGTCAAAAGAACAAATGAGAGTTCCTCTCCTCAACAGGGACCTCGGAAGAGAGTGCTGCTTCTGCACATTACAGAAAACAACTGCCAATCCAGAGCGCTCTAGGGGAATGCTCTTTCAGTGAAGAAGAGCGTGAACAAGAGAGTTTCAAACAAACCGAGGCAGAGGATAAAATCACCAGCAGACACACAATGTGAACAGTATTCAGGCAGGACAGTGGTGGCTGATGGGAGGGAGGCGGATTTAGGAAACAACAGACGCACGGTTCTGCTTCAAAGAGGAAAGAGCTTAGGATCTGAGAGGAGCTGCCTGCCAAGCTTGATAAAGCTTGTTAGGGAAGCAGTTCTCAAAGGATGGCTTGGGGGTTCCGAGGCCTCCTGGGGGTCAAACTCTTTCCACAAGAACGCTATCCTGTTAATTCTTTTCCACTAGGATGGTCTCAGGAGTGGACAGAGGTGTTTTCCAGCGGCTCTGAAACTTGTGACATCACAGTGATGTGAGGATGTGACAGCAGAAAGGCTATAGAAGCAGATGTCAGAATCTAGCTTTTCCGTTAGATGTTGAAATCTGTGAAAATGGGAAGCAGTTCCACTCTTCTCACGAATATTAAAACTGTTTGTAGTAAGTCTTCATAAAAATATGCTCTTTAACATCAAATGAATTGGTGTAATTTTTCAAGAGATTACTAATGCATTTTTAAACACACTTCTGTTTCAATCACTGTTAATGTGGTATACACAAAAGCTCCCTATAGTCAGTGTTTTAAAGAGTCTAAAGGGTTCTGAGATAACAAGACCAGATGTACTAACTTCTTGTTGCCTTTGAAAAGAATGTTGTCAACCCCAAATGGCTCAATAAATTGCAGAGGACAAGCAGCGGCATTTAGGAAAAACATCACACACTATTTCAAGACAAAGGTTTTGAGCTTCAAACTAGACTAAGAACTTTAATGTCTTTAGTTTTGAGGCCAAAATACCTTAGGAAAAGCCCATTGTTAAAGCAAATCAAGGGTCTGCAGAGAGAGCCTTTGCCAGAGATTTCTTTCCAGTACAAATGTCAGAGCAGGGTGAGGAGCTCGAGGCAAAGGTTCTCCTGGTTCACTGACACTGCTGTGGAGGGCTTCAATGCTCATCTGCTACTGCTCTCGGCTGTCTGCAGTCCTTTAGTTAGGTCTGCTGAGCAAATCCTTTAGCAATTGCAAATATGACAGGAGGGGTCACATGGTTGTCAGCCCCTTCCTACGTACAGGAGCCAGGTTAAGACCTGCCTGATGTCCAGCTGTCCTTGGGTGGTGCAACTTGTTTTTGATCATTTTATTGGGGGCTCATACAACTCTCATCACAATCCATACTTGCATCAATTGTTTAAAGCACATTTATACATTCATTACCCTCATAATTCTCAAAACATTTGCTCTCCACGACGATGCTTCTTTAAAGAAAAAATCTATTCTGCCACTCTGGTTTTTTTTTTTTTTTTTAGCACATTTGTACATTCGTTGCCCTCATCATTCTCAAAACATTTGTTCTCCACTTAAGCCCTGGCATCAGCTCCACATTTTTCCCCTCCCTGCTCGCTACCCCCTCCCTCATGAACCCTTGATAATTTATAATTATTTTGTCATACCTTGCCTTATCTGACGTCTCCCTTCACCCACTTTTCTGTTTCCGTCCCCCAGGGAGGAGGTATATGTAGATCCTTGTCATCGGTTCCCCCTTTCCAACCCACCTCCCTCCACCCTCCCCAGTGTTGCCACTCACACCATTGGTCCCGAAGGGATCATCCGCCCTGGATTCCCTGTGTTTCCAGTTCCTATCTGTACCAGTGTACATCCTATGGTCTAGCCAGATTTGTAAGATAGAATTGGGATCATGATAGTGGGGTGGGGGTGGGAAGAAGCATTTAGGAACTAATGTAAAGTTGTATGTTTCATTGTTGCTACACTGCACCCTGACTTGTTCATCTGCTCCCCGTGACCCTTCCTTAAGGGGATGTCCAATAGCCTACTGATGGGCTCTGGGTCTCCACTCCGCACTCTCCCTTATTCACAATGTTATGATTTTTTGTTCTAATGATGCCTGATAACTGATCCCTTCGACACCTCATGATCACACAGGCTGGTGTACTTCTTCCATGTAGGCTTTGTTGCTTATGAGCTAAATGGCCGCTTGTTTGCCTTTAAGCCTTTAAGACCCCAGACGCTATATCTTTTGATAGCCGGGCACCATCAGCTTTCTTCACATTTGCTTATGCACCCGCTTTGTCTTTAGCGATTGTGTCGGGAAGGTGAGCATCACAGCATTAACTTTTATATGAAGTTGCCCACACCTCAAGGAAACTTCCTTCTAATTGCATCGGGGATGACCTGAGTAAGGGTGTTGCATGCCACCCCAATCTCCCCACAACTTTTTGCTTGCTCACAGCCTATCCTGTCATGGAGTTGATTACATTGTTAGGTCATATCATGGTGTTTGACTGCCAAACTACTGAGAATCTTGGCCCACTCAAGTTGACACAGAAAACTATCATCATGTCTAAAGTGTGGGAGGGGAAGTCTTGCCATCCTTGCCTTTAAGGAGCGTCCTCGCTCTACTTCTTTCCAGGCGCATTTGTTTGTTCTTCTGGTAGTCCATGGTATTCTGTACCAGCACCCTAATTCAATGGCATCAATTCTTCTTTGGTCTTTTCATTCAATGTCAAGTTTTCACATGGACACCAGGCAACGGAAAGTGCCGTGGCTTGGTTTAGGTGAAACTTAGTCCTCAAGTTGACACCTTTGCTTTTTAACAATGTAAAGAGATTTGCATCAGATTTGTCCAAATTACTATGTTTTTTTATTTTCTAATTGCTGCTTCTGTGCATGCTGATTGTGGACTCCAGTAAAAGGAAGTCCTTGCCAGCTTCAACGTTTCCTCCAAATAGACTCAACCCAAGTGATGGGAATGAAGTACCCTTTCAGCACCCTCATTAGCACATCGAAACAGAGAACAAAGCAAGCATCCATTCATTTAGAAAGTGTGTCACATGAACTATGGACCTAGGGCAACTGGAAGTCAACAAAAATGCAAAGGAATGTATAAACAGCATCTGAGGCCACAGTGAGCTGCAATAACTAGCGCTGGCTTTTTGAATCTGACAATCTTAGAGTCTACTCTGGTAGAAATAACAAATTGAACGGGAATGGTGTCATTTTCATTATCAAAAAGAACATTTCAAGTTCTATGTGGAAGTATAATTCTCTCAATAATAGGGTAATATCATACACCTCTATGGAAGACCAGATAAAGTAACTATTATTCCAAATGTATGCACCAACGGATACTGACAAAGGTAAACAACGGTACATTTTTCCTTACCACTTTTGCAGTCTGAAACTGGTCAAACAGGAACTCAAGGCCCACTGATAATCACAGGTGATTGCTGGACGGATACTCGGGGCATATCACGCCAGTGACAGGTAACACCCGAGATCAGGATAGAATTTTGTAAGACCAATAAATTATTAATTAAAAAATACCCCTTTTAAGAACAACATAAGTGGTGACTATCCACACGAACCTCACCAGATGGAATACGCAGGAATCAAGCAAACACTATCTTTGAAAAGGGATAATGGAGAAACTAAATGTTAATCAGAGAAGGGGATATTGTATGGTTTAAAATCAGGAAAGGTGTGTGTCAGAGCTATATCCTTTCACCATATTTATTCACTCTGTATGTTAAATAATATGAGAAGCTGGACTATTTGAAGAACTCAGCATCTGGATTGGAGGAAGATTTTCTTACTGAAAGTAAAAAGAACTTCAAGTGTTTATAGAGGAAGACCAAAGGCTACACAGCCTTCAGCATGGATTATACCACAACATAACGAAAATAAAAACAAAA